ATTTCTTAAATTCCAAGGTGTTAAACTCTATCCCTTGGAAAAAATCTGACCTTCCTATTTTCAGAATACAGTAGAACCTCCCCGTAAAGGACACCTAATTGCAGAGCCAAAGTGTCCTTTAGTGAGAGGTGTCCTCTTACCAGAGAGTTGCTAAATAGTAAAAATGGTAATTTTGCAAATGAAAACTGTTCTTTGTGGAGAGGTGTGTCCTCTAGCAGGGTGTCCGTTAAAGGGAGGTTCTACTATATAAGTGCTGAATTGTTGCAATTCAACCATTACCTAACTTTGTATGTATTCAGAAGAGAGGAAGGTGTGTGGGTATTTATAGAGCTGAGGGAGGGTGTGGGTCAAATCCCCCGCTGACATAACACTTCAGATATAGATGCCACCTCAGTGTTTGTGTTGAAAGATTTAGTATTCTTTTTTTATTGCACACCTTTTTTTTTATGTTAAGGTGTCATTTCTATAAATACATATGCATTTAAGCCTGTCTATAGCAACCCCTCTTGGGACTCACCAAATAGGGTGCTATAGAGAGGGGGTGCTATAGACAGGTCACTTTTAATGTAAAATGTTTAAAATCGGGCGCTATTTAGAGGGGGCGCTATAGACAGGTTTAGCTGTATATGAATGTATATAGTATAATTTCATTAATTTAATCAAAAATTCTGATCTCCCTCGGGGTGTTGAATTAAAGAAGTTGGACAATATATATATATGTGGTATAAAAGGTGGGGAAATTTAATCAAAAATTCTGATCAATTCTGATCGAATCAAAAATTTAATCAAAAATTCTGATCTCCCTCGGGGTGTTGAATTAAAGAAGTTGGACAATATATATGTGGTATAAAAGGTGGGGAAATTTAATCAAAAATTCTGATCAATTCTGATCGAATCAAAAATTCTGATCTCCCTCGGGGTGTTGAATTAAAGAAGTTGGACAATATATATATATATATATATATATATACAGTCGAACCTCTTTAATTCAACACCCCAAGGGATCAGAGCTTTCGGTTGAATTAAAGGAAGTGTTTGAATTAAGGTGAGATGATTAGGTAATCATCTAACTCACTAAAATAATATTTTTTAAAAAATAGCCTTGTAATATAAATTAATGATATAAATTGAAACCATTGGGTTTTTATTTTATTTTCATGATTAACTTTTAGTATCAGGGACAAAATGGCATTAATACATATTTTAGAAACAAAAATAATTGTAACAAATAAATTTACTGGCAATGTGTTTCTTTTCAGTAATATAATCAAATATTAACTCTACAGACATTAAAATATTAAATATAATATATTAAATAATATTTTATTCTAATTGAAAAATATAGCAGTTGAAAGGAAATAAATATGGTAAATAAAAAGAAAATTTTAAAATATTATTTAAAAATTATCATGAAGATCTTTTAAAAAATTCCTTTATAGATGTCTGTTTTTGCACTGAAATCCTATTCAGGATGTATTCCAGACGGTCATTTTGAAAAAACATGCATGTCTTTCTTCTTCTAAAATGTTTTTTAATAAATAAATTTTAATGTACAGTCGAACCTCTTTAATTCAACACCCCAAGGGATCAGAGCTTTCGGTTGAATTAAAGGAAGTGTTGAATTAAGGTTATATGGTTATATGATTAGGTAATCATCTAACTCGCTAAAATATATATTTTTTAATAGCTTTGTAATATAAATTAATGATATTAATTGAAACCATTGTGTGTTTTTATATTATTTTCATGATTAACTTTTAGTATCAGTGACAAAATGGCATTAATACATATTTTAGAAACATAAATAATTGTAACAAATAAATTTATTGGCAATGTGTTTCTTTTCAGTAATATAATCAAATATTAACTCTACAGACATTAAAATATTAAATATAATATATTAAATAATATTTTATTCTAATTGAAAAATATAGCAGTTGAAAGGAAATAAATATGGTAAATAAAAAGAAAATTTTAAAATATTATTTTAAAATAATCATGAAGATCTTTTAAAAAATTCCTTTATAGATATCTGTTTTGCACTGAAATCCTATTCAGGATGTATTCCAGATGGCATTTTGAAAAAACATGCATGCCTTTCTTCCTCTGAAATGTCTTTTAATAAATAAATTTTAATGTATTAAAGGCATCCACTGCTGCTGCAGGTGTTATTGATTTTGTGTTTAAATCTTTTATAATAACACAGAAATGGAATATTGAAATAAAATGTTATCATAATCATTGTTGGATCATTTTATAAAGATTTATTTATTTAAAAAGAAATTATTTATAAATTTAAAAATAGCTAAAATATTTCAATGTTAAAAATAAAAAAATAAAAATTATTATTAGTTAGCGCATGATGCCGAAATTCCCGCGTAAAAAAAACAACAATAACATCCGCGAAATTGCGCAACGGCACTGCAAAGTGAAACTTAAACTAACCAGAAACCAAAAGTGCGCAGGCGCGATCGTATCGACGCCCGCTGTTGCCGATCGTCGCCGCCCGCCGATGCCGATCGTCGCCGCCGTAATACCGTTTAGCGGTAAAGTTGCATGTAAAATAACATTCAACTGTCGAAATTCGAATTTTAAAATGGTCGAACTATCGGAACTGTCGTATTATCGATACTGTCGAATTACGGTTTGTTATTTGATAGGCCGGAGGTCGGGACATCGGAACATGGTCGAATTATCGCCGAGTGTCGAATTGGGGTGTGTCGAATTAACGAGGTTATACTGTATATGTGGTATAAAAGGTGGGGAAATTTAATCAAAAATTCTGATCAATTCTGATCGAATCAAAAATTTAATCAAAATTCTGATCTCCCTCGGGGTGTTGAATTAAAGAAGTTGGACAATATATATGTGGTATAAAAGGTGGGGAAATTTAATCAAAAATTCTGATCAATTCTGATCGAATCAAAAATTTAATCAAAAATTCTGATCTCCCTCGGGGTGTTGAATTAAAGAAGTTGGACAATATATATATATATGTGGTATAAAAGGTGGGGAAATTTAATCAAAAATTCTGATCAATTCTGATCGAATCAAAAATTTAATCAAAAATTCTGATCTCCCTCGGGGTGTTGAATTAAAGAAGTTGGACAATATATATATATATGTGGTATAAAAGGTGGGGAAATTTAATCAAAAATTCTGATCAATTCTGATCGAATCAAAAATTTAATCAAAAATTCTGATCTCCCTCGGGGTGTTGAATTAAAGAAGTTGGACAATATATATGTGGTATAAAAGGTGGGGAAATTTAATCAAAAATTCTGATCAATTCTGATCGAATCAAAAATTTAATAAAAAATTCTGATCTCCCTCGGGGTGTTGAATTAAAGAAGTTGGACAATATATATATATATGTGGTATAAAAGGTGGGGAAATTTAATCAAAAATTCTGATCAATTCTGATCGAATCAAAAATTTAATCAAAAATTCTGATCTCCCTCGGGGTGTTGAATTAAAGAAGTTGGACAATATATATGTGGTATAAAAGGTGGGGAAATTTAATCAAAAATTCTGATCAATTCTGATCGAATCAAAAATTTAATCAAAAATTCTGATCTCCCTCGGGGGTGTTGAATTAAAGAAGTTGGACAATATATATATATATGTGGTATAAAAGGTGGGGAAATTTAATCAAAAATTCTGATCAATTCTGATCGAATCAAAAATTTAATCAAAAATTCTGATCTCCCTCGGGGTGTTGAATTAAAGAAGTTGGACAATATATATATATATGTGGTATAAAAGGTGGGGAAATTTAATCAAAAATTCTGATCAATTCTGATCGAATCAAAAATTTAATCAAAAATTCTGATCTCCCTCGGGGTGTTGAATTAAAGAAGTTGGACAATATATATGTGGTATAAAAGGTGGGGAAATTTAATCAAAAATTCTGATCAATTCTGATCGAATCAAAAATTTAATCAAAAATTCTGATCTCCCTCGGGGTGTTGAATTAAAGAAGTTGGACAATATATATGTGGTATAAAAGGTGGGGAAATTTAATCAAAAATTCTGATCAATTCTGATCGAATCAAAAATTTAATAAAAAATTCTGATCTCCCTCGGGGTGTTTGAATTAAAGAAGTTGGACAATATATATGTGGTATAAAAGGTGGGGAAATGAGCACATCACAAGTTGGAAGAGAGACCTAGGCAATCAAATGGAGATGGGTTGGCAGAGCTGGGCAAACCACTCGTGTCGCACCCAATCCCTAAATGTCTTAAAAATCCTGAGGTGTTAACTAACGTGTGGTCGCCCCTTGGAATGTCGCTGGTGTGCCAAGTGGCCGGACTTTACCCTCCTATCTCTGTCTGGGTTGTCTGTAGGTTGACTTTATTGATTTCAGGAAGAATAAATATTATGACATATACAGTAGAACCTCCCTTTAGCAGACACCCCGCTAGCAGACATCTCTCCACAACAAACAGTTTTCAATTGCAAAATTACCATTTTTACTATTTAGAAATTCTCCGGTTAGAGGACACCTCTCCCTAAAGGACACTTTGGTTCTGTAATTAGGTGTTGTCTTTTACAGGGAGGTAGTTCTACTGTATATATATAACAACCCTCATTTTTATAAAATAGGGCCTTTCTGTTATGGACAACACCTAGTTGCAGAACCAAAGTGTCCTTTTTGGGAGAGTTGATAATTTTGCAATGAAAACTGTTCCTTTGTAGATCTAGTGTCCTCTCTCTCATGGACTTTCTACTGTATATCTAAAAGAAAAGTTAGTTATAGACACAAGACCAAATTCAAATAAATAAATAGTGTGTTGCTCACTATTTATTTATTTAGAATTGGTCTTATTACCTTGTGTTTATAATCTACTAGCCAAATGGCCCGGGCAACGCCCGGGTTTTACTCGATTAAATGCTTTTATTCAAATACTATTTGTTACAATTATAAATTGCCGCAGTGGATGTCATTCTTGTATAATATATAAATGAGTTTTAAAAATAAAAAAAAAAAAAAAAAAAATGCATCGGCCGGGAATCGAACCCGGGCCGCCCGCATGCATGGCAGGCGAGCATTCTACCACTGAACCACCGATGGTTATGAGAAATGGCCATATTTGGGTATTTATTCCATTCACAAAAGCAAACGGTGACAGAATTGATTAAGAAAGAATTGATTATGATGCTGATAACTGTATATATAATAATCCAAATTGTGCCTTATCAAAGGTTAGCAATGTAAATGAGGACATGCCATGGTATATATATATATATTTGTATAACCCCAGTTGTAAGGTGTTGTACACTTGTAACTGTTGCATATGTAGAAGCGCAGTATGCATATTTTATTTCTGACCTTGAGGTTAATGGACTGCATAATTTTATCCTGCTTGTGGGACATCTCACCCAGCAACAAGTTTTTTTTTCATTTCCTTCCCTGTCTATCTCATACAGACACTAAAACCTTCCCAAAAATGAACCGTGAGTATAGTAGGGAACCTTCCATTATAACACAAATTATGTGGCTATAGTAAACCAAAAGTCCCATTAAAGTTTGCTATAGCGAGGTTATGCAGTATCTGATCTCTGTACTCTTTTTATTATTTAAGCATTTATTTATTTATTTGAGTTTATATTTGTTATTATTATCCCTAGTACATGTTTTACAGGCCATCATAATCATGGGTATTTAGCGACTGCTTTTACTACAAGTGCTTCTTCTTCTTTCTTATCTCCTCTCAATCATATCAGGGTATCAAGCTTGTAGAGCTTGACAACCGTCATGATTGGGTGAAGTAGAATGCATTTGCCATTAAGACTGGGAGCACTACTCAGTGGCAGGCCGACTTAGCTGCAAAAGAAATGGCCGCCTCTGACATGAGGAAGATGCCATGTGCAGCTACTCCTAACATGGAATACAAACAGTCATGATTGGGTGAAGTAGAATTCATTTTCCTTTGCCATTAAGACTGCGAGCACTACTCAGTGGCAGGCCGACTCAGCTACAAAAAAATATATAAAAAAATGGCCACCTCAGACATGAGGAAGATGCCATGTGCAGCTGCTCCTAACATGGAGTACAAACGCTGCTCATCCTGTATCCTTGGATTAGGAGACCATAGAGGGTACTATCAGCCAGGCCAGCTGAGTCCAGGTTTTTTAGCAAGCTTGTTACTGCTCCCCCTCCTCCTTTTTCATCCGGGCTTGGGACCAGCAAAGGTGGAGTTACGGCAAGTACACCACATGTCCATTAATGTGAAAGGCAGTTTGACTTTTGCACATACAAGTATGCCAGAGCCTGTTTTTGGTTACTTGGACTCACTGGTGGAGTTTGCTTCAATGGCTCTCTGAGTCATGCCAGAGTCCAACTCCACCAGTGACTCCAAGTAATTTATAGAGAGTCCAAGTTATTTTTCATCATAAAAATGAATCCCTGGTTGTGGCTCTGGAAAATTGACACCACTCCTCCACCAACAGTTGTTTATAATAAGGTCTAGTCTTTTTATAACTACTGTATTTATGGCTATATAGCTTGGATAATGTTCTAAAACTGGCCGGAAAATAATCTCTTTTGACATCTGATGTGCTAGAGAAGAATTCTCAAGATCAACAGCTAGGGGGACAAACAAGGAAGTTTGGAGAAGATTTAATGGAGAGTATATAGTCTTCTAAATGAGGTAATCAAAAAAGTTTGCAGGACATGTCCTCCAGGGAATCATTAGTAGACCTTGCTGGGACATTACTGGAGAGATACACAGTACAATTTGGATTGTAGATTGGAAACAAAAGATAACAAGACCATATCCAATTTATTGAAATGTTTGGATTTGGTTACCATTTGAACAGATACACTTTAAAAAGATTGAAGAGAAAGGTAGACCAAAGAAGGATTGGTTTGATGATTTAATTTTTTAAAAATAGAATTAGAAGCTCTGAGAGATTGGACAGACAAGGGTGAAATGTGCCATTCCATTATGTCAGGGATGGTTGTACATTAGTGGACTGTTGTAAGTCTGGGTCTCAGCAGCAAGCATTTGAAATGTGAGAGGAGCTTACAACAAACACAAATAATTATACTGGTTTAAAGCTCCTCAGATTCTTGCACCTACATTCAACAGATGAGTGCAAGTAACCAAATGGAGGCTTATTTTAGTGCGAAATCTAAGTGGTGTGCATCACTAGCCCTTGATTCTTGCAGAAGTCAGACCTCAGCAATGACTATAAGTAAGTGAACAAGACTATAGTATCTTATAAGTTATAAAGTTTAACTGCTTTTTCACATAGTGCATCTATAGTAAAAGTAATTGCTAAATATACCAACCATGATTGTCATGTGTACTTGGGATATGTTTAAAAAAAAAGTGAGTAAACTCCACTCCATCATGGTTATCGTGAGCATGGGCACTAGAGATTAAGTCACAACATGAGTGCGTATTTGAAAGCTGGGAGGATTTAGGATTTGTGAGATATTGCTCACAACCCAGTTACGACAGAAGGCGTGGTACCGAGACAATGTGACAATAAACTCTGTGAGTAGAGGAAAGGAGGAAATAATTTGTTTTGACCGCCGACCTTGACATCCAGCCAGTAGCAGTCACAGCCACAACTCCGTTGCGACTATTTTTTTTTTATCCTCATTGTCTCTCATTGAGTTAATCATTTCTGTAATTGGCGTGGGTGTGCCAACCCGCGTGTTGATTAGGCTTGACTGGCAGCAATACATTTCTCTTGTGGCTAATTGGACAGGCATGCAGTCGAATTGTTTATTTGGGAAAACGGACATTTTCGATGGTTTGTAACTAGAGGAAGGTTTTTTCTACGAGAGTAGGGTATTCTTGTATATAGAATAGCTGTGTAGGAAGAGGACTGGCAGACCAAATAGTTTGTCGTATCTCCACTGACAAGTTGAGCCTAGAGTTGTCAACTGAATGCCACACTTTGCATACAATACTGGATATATGCAGTACAGTAAATAACTGTATCTATACAAACGTTCGTTAAAAGTCGTCAATCGAAACAACTGCAAGTTTTTTTTTTTTTTTTTATTTCCCCAGTGCACAAAGTGTTGATAATCATGGTGTGTAGTTAACCCGGCATTGCGCGCGCCGGGTGAAAATTACCCATGGCAACATTTGAATGGAGAATTAACCAATAAAAAATCGGTTGGCGGAGATGTGGTTTCGTTTAGCTTCCTGACTCATCAATTAGTCTAAAGTTTTGGTTTCACATTTTGACAGCTCCCACTGAAATTCCATCTATTGTCACTGTCGGGTAAAAATTACCCGGCGCGCGCACTCACGTAATTTTTTTGTTGCATTTTTTTTATAACATTTTTTTAAATGAGATAAATAATTCGAATTAATAATTTAAAAAAAATAACTATAATAGGTTGATATATTTATTAGCCTATAATTCTATATAAAATGGAGGGAAGAAGATCATATTTATTAGATCAAGAAGAGATTATTGTAGAAGGTGATATTGAAGAAGATCATCTAAATGAACATTTTTATGGAGGTGACACTGGAATATATTCAGATATAGGAATTTTGTGGAATAAGGGAATTATCCCACAAACACATTTTTATATAGGGAGAGCCTCGAAAATCAAATGGTTCAAAAATTGTCCTTCACAAACAGTAAAGCTGAGAACGCCTAATGTCATTACACATTTACTAGGCTTGAAAGGTGAAGAAGCAAAAAATTAAAATACACCTTTAGAAGCTCTTTTGAAGAAAATTCTTGAAAGTTTTGGCCCTTGAACTCATCAAAGAACAACTAAATCAAAGAAAATCATTTCTTCACTGCCTAAAAGACTATTAAAAATTTCCTTTTTTTACAGTTAAGTTAATTTAAATCATAAATGTATACTCTAAATATTTATTTCAATTATTTTTAGAAGGCACTTCAAGCCATAAAGAAGGTCAGGAACCACAAGATAAAGCTTCCTACCAGATGTAGTGTGTCCCTCCAGTAAGGACAGGAAGACCTCGACTTTGTGCAATAAATGTGCAAAGCCAATTTATAAAGGACATACAATAGCAGTTTGCAATGATTTGTCTAAAATATCCTCATGGAATTTTATATATTTAATATTGAAAAGGAGCAATTGTTTCATATTTTATATGCCATTACCAATTTTGAGGATTATTCAAGAATAGTTTTTTAAAATGTTTAATCTGTGTAAAAAATATAAATATTTTATTAATAATTGCCTTTTTTGAAAATTAAAATGTTATTACTTTGAAATAGAAAAGGTTTTGTTTTTCCTCAGTTAATATTTATATTCAAAATATGTAATTTTAATATCGGGTAAATTTCACCCAGCGCGCGCAAGTACGTTACATTTCTAGCGCGCGCGCTCGAGGGTTAATGATTGCCTTTTACCACAATTTTACATTTAGAAGAAAGTTTGGCTTTTGCACTTACAAGATGTAGTTTGGTTACTTTGCACTCACCGGTGGGGTAGGACTTGTGAAAGAAGCAGGGTAAATATAAGTAGGAAAAAAATGTTTATTGTGAGAGATGATCCCGAGTAGTGTTGTCAAAAATCGACGGGGTGTACCACTCCTACACCAAACCCCATTTTTAGTCGGTCCGTTAAACCGTATCTGTTACGGGAGTGAATGGAGAACAGTGAGGTGTGACCCCGCTGTCCGTGAAAGTAAATAAATAAAGTGACCAGCGGCCAACTCTCTCCTATCAACTGCCAAGGCCGTAACTTCCGGTAATGGCTTTGTTTACCTCCGTTATCGGCTTCTCCGTCTACGCCGCCCGCCGTGTTTTGACTCTTCTCTTAGAACACAACGTATCTGTGGTAGAAGTCTACAGTGTTATCTCACTTTCATCTTACACTATAATGCCTGATAAAAATAATGTTGAACATCGTGAAGGTATCATGAAAATCATTTGAAATTTACAGGATATTAAAATCAGGCAATAACATGTTTTTTTTTTTGCTTAACCCTAGTACATGTGGTACAGGCCATGATAATCATGGTGGGAAGAAGTAGGCGACTGCTTTTACTGTAAGTGCACCATATGTCTACACGTGTGAAAAGCAGTTCGACTTTGCACTTACAATTTGTGCCAGAGCCC